ATTTCCTGTATCACATTCTTCATCTCAAACAGTTCTGTTTTATTCTTTTTTTATAGTGTCTATTTCTTCTTTCAAATTGTGAAAGGACTTTCACATCTCCTGGAGCTCATTGTCTCCTTTCTCTTATATTTCATTTAGTTTGGTCATTATAAATATTCTGAACTGTTTATCTGACATTTCCATGAGTTCCACTATGTTGTCTGTGTGTGATGCAGAATTGATGTTTTCCATTGGGTGAGAGACATTTTGTTGCTCATATTTTGTAGAAACAGTTTTTGAAATTTTTTTTTTTTTAAGAGGATTTTGCTATAGGGCACATGCACTTGCCAGAAAGACAGAGACAGAAAGTGAGAAATAACCCCCCCAGGGGCAATGGCCATACCACAATCCTTTCTCCTCCATTCTCCTCTCAGGATCTTGGGCACGCATGCACATGTGCCTGGCGCGAGTTTAAGCCACTGGGTCTGGGACTCAAAACACGGTCAACTACATGGGAGTCCAGCAACATAGCCATTACACCAACTGCTGATCCACTCATATTTCTTATGACTTTTCAATGGTTTCTAGTCATCTGGTGATCTATATGTTCCTTCGTAAATTCCAGAAGGTATCTCTGATCATTCAAAGGCATGCAGGAGTAGGCAATTGGTGATCTTTTTTTGCCCTACTTCCCCATTGCTCACTCACACCTTGCACTGTTGTCACTCGTCCTAGGTGACCCAAATTCTTCCCTGCTTCTGAGAGTCTAAAGGCAAGTGGGGAAGGTAATGAGCCATGGGTCCTAGTTGTAAAACCTTGCAGCTATAGGCAGCCTGTTGCATAGTAAGGCCCTTCACTGGAACAAGTGTCTGGATGGGGCTGAGAGGGTTACAAGATCATCTCAAAGTCCTAAGCAACAAATCTGAGAGTCCAAAGGTGAGTAGGGAAGGGACTCAGAATGTCTTAACCAGAATCATTACATTTTCTCAATCCTGTTCCTATATTACTCAGTTTAGTGGACAGCAACATCATCCAGAAGTCCCTTGTCCAATTTGGAAACTATAGGCATTGATTCTTGTCCAGTAGGCTGGCTGCCTTTGACAACAGAAGCTATGTCTAGTTCAAAGTTTTGAATGATGAATGTGGCACTTGCCATAGGGTCTGGCACAGAGAAAGTGCCCGTGAGTGGCAACTTCACACTTCACTGGTGGACACTGGTAGCTAATCCTCATTGTAGACATGAAAAGCCCTTATTTGACTATATTCAGCAAACACAGGCTCAGCACCAAATATGTGCTAAATTCTCTGTTGGGTGCTGAGGATAACAAAATGAACAAGAGGAGGCTGCCCTCGGAAACTCAGTCTGAGTCTGCACAATCAAAAGGAATCTGTGCATAAGGAATAAAAGCTCATGTGTCTTCATATTAAAAAGAGCTTTAACTGTCATATTATGAGCCCTACAACTTTGAAGATCTATATATTGAATCAGAGGAGATCACTAATAACAGTAATAACAACAGCACCAGCAGCTAGCATTTATTGAGAGCTTCGGATGTACCAGGCTGTGTGTCACTTTATGTAGAATACTCACTTAATTCTCACTATACTTCTGTGACATGTGTGCTATTGTTATCCTTATTTTGTAGAAGAGAAAATTGAAATTCAGAGATGAATTAACCCACCCGGAACACATTACTCCCAAATAGAAGAGCTACATCCCAGTCCAGGCAGTCTGGTGGCACTATCCTATACTGCTTCTCTAGGAAGGATGAATTTAACAAGTTGAGCCTCAATTTACCTGGGCAGTTGTGGTCTTTTACACTTTGGCTCCAGACCTACCTTTCTGGTCTAACTTTCAGCTGTTCCTTGGCCTCCTACACAAGTGCTCTACCACAACCATTGAGAATCCTAGCTCTTGCCCAACCCACCACACCTTTTCATACCAATGGGCTTTGGTTTGGGTAGGAATCCTTCCCCTACTTTTCTGACTTTGATGTGATCATTAGACCAGCTTCCATGGGACTTATGCCCCTTCCCACCCTGAGGGGAAGAAATCTTTTCATCTGCAATACTTCAGAGCACCTTTGACAAACCTCTAGTCTAGCTTTCAGCTCCTTTCAGAACCCCACCCCTATGTTCCCCAAGAAGGTTGCCACTATAGCCCTTCCTCCAAATACCTATCACCAGGACTGGCATAGAGGAGGTGCCCATGGAATAGTTAGTGAAGAAAGACATAAACACTGTAATCATGTGATAGTTTGTCTGCTTCAGTTTATGAAGTTACATCCATAGTCCACACATCTGTTCTCATGGGCTTTTCACTGCAGTCACATTAGGCAGCAGGTGTATTATCCCCATTTTGTAGGTAAAAACACTTAAGACAAGAAAGAATTCTTACTTCTTACCACCAGCCCATCTTGACCAAACAAGCTGATGACAATTCCAGTTAGTATGTGCGATGGGTGCCTTGGAGGGCTCCCTCTGCCAGGAGGCATTTTGAGGCGTGAGCTAATGTGCACACTTAGACCACACCCATCATCCCTGGGGAGGAGTGGGGCATACAAACAAGGAGCTATGCTGCCTGCTGTCATGTTCCTTGCCTCCTTAATGTTAGCATACACTCTATCTCCTCCCAAGACTCAAGTATTAGAACTCAAAGAAGGGCACTCAGCTGGGAGGTCTATTTAGTATTCTAAACACTAGTTTTATTTTCCTGAAGCTCTGTTTCTTTTGAGCTCAGTCCAATGTCTGTCACCCAAGAACTGACTGTTGTAGAAGAATGTTTGTGGTCAAGCAGAAGGCAGGCAAGACTAGCTCCTGTGACAGAAGCAGCATAATAGTGCCCAGGGTTATTTCAAGCCATCACTTTGTTTTGCACACCTCCTCTCTCCCTGTTCCCATGGCTGAGACTGCCCTGGCCTTTTGTTTCCCTAGGCTCCAAATTTGGAAATTACCTTCTCTTTAGAGGTGATCTTGGCCTAAGTCAAAGAAACAAGGTTTTGAATTAAATGTGAGCAGGGGGCAAGTGACCGGGGCAGGATGCAGGAGAAGTCTATGATGGAAGTTCTCATTAAGAAAAGACACTTCCATATCAGGTATAAGAAATAAGAACCAGGACTTAGCAAAGCAGGAAAGCACAGTTTCAGGGGCTCATTATAGTCCAGTCATCCAAATGGGGAAAATAAGGCCATAGAGAAGGAATTTACCCAACAAAGTTAAATCCTATGCCCATAGCAGCTCTCCTGTTCTCTGTCATTTATTTAGACCCAAGATTAAGACAGGGGTCTGATATACAATGCTGATTTTTGTTAGAGATGTATAGACTATCATGGAAGTTCATGGAACACCACATTATAGAAAGAATTAAGTTGAACTGTTAGAGCTTAAAGAGATCAAGGAAGCCTGATGAGTATTATCCTCCTTGTGGAGATAGAGTAATGGACTGGCCAAAAAAGGAAGATGGAGTGGCCAAGGTTTCACACAAGTCTGAAGCAGAGATGGAGCCAGATCCCAGCCCTAGTAGCCATGTCAGTTCCTGTGTTCCATGCATGCGGAGGCAGCAGTCCACCTCTTACCAGTTTAGCAGCCAGATTGTTTCAAGGCAGACAGTGCCCAGCAACAGAGAATACTCTTGCAATGCAAAAATGGCATGTATTGTTCAGGATCTGGACTGTTCAAACTGTATGATCCTCCCTTCAACTTCCTCAACCTTAATCCATCCTACTTCCCCTTTTAGACATTTACAGAGTTTGAGGGCTGAACCTTCTGGGAATTCTTGAGCTAGTGGTAGAACTGGATTCTTATTGCTTCAGCTCACCTGGTTCTGGCAGCCACTAATATCACTTACTATCCTCAGGGTAGAGACCAAGCTGGACTGGCCCCATGCCACATCCTAGACACAAATAGCATGCAAGGCTGGTAGAGGCCTCCTCACTCAGCCCTCAGCCTGACTTCTGGTCTGAAAACAGGTAAGATTTTTTCCTCTCGATATCTAGACATTTCAGGGACAGACATCGGCACAAAGTAGGGTAAGAGTTAAAGGGCTGGGGAGAGGGCCTGGAGACCTTGGGATCCCTTCCATGTTTCACAGAATGTAGGAAAAACTTGGGTGAGGTTCAAACTACAGAAACAGGTATCTCCTCAGAGAAGAAGTATGAAAGCAGTTCTGGATGAGGAGCTCCGGGCTCTGGATTCCAAATCTGCCCCTATCATTGGAAGGCTGGATAAACTTGGGGAAGCGCCTTTCCCTTCTCTGGGCAGCAGTGATCCATTGATAACTTGTGGAAGTTGGCCTTGATGTGTTGACTCTGGTGTGCTGTGCCACAGCGCAAGACAAGCCAGCGCGGGCGCTGCAACTGGCTTTCCTGGCAGGTAAGTTCCTCCTCTGGTGGCTTGGCTCTGTCTCTACGCCTTAATGATGACCTCCGCCCCTAGGTGGCACAGGGCTCTGCAGTCACTCTAGGCACTCCTACCTCCTTTCCTCGCTACTTCCAGACTGGCCTTTCTGGGAGGAACTGCCAGGTGGCGCCCAGGTAGTAGTGGTGCAAACGCACAGTAGCCACGGAAATCAGAACACGAGCAAAACCGAAACAGAGCTCCAGGGATCCGGTGAGCCCCATCAGGGTGCAACTGGCGCCTCTAGTTCGCTGTACAGCCACACTGCGACCCAATCGGCGTGGAGACTGGAGTAGAGAGCTCCAAGGAGAGATTGGGCACCCTTTTGGCTCCCGGCCAACACCGTGACCACGTTTATTTGCATTTAAAGAGAAATGCACCAAGGAAAACAGAGGGCCAGGCCGGCACGCCTTTTCACCGTAGCGATTGGTCCGCACGCCTGCCAATCAGAGTGCAGATGCCCCACCCAGTGGCCCTGGAGTCCGAGGGGAGGGGGGAAGGGGGAGCTGCCCAGAGCTCGGGGAAGAGGAATCTGTGCTGGAGGTGACTGGAGCCGCTGTGCCGGCGACAGGAGCAGTGCAGTGCTCTCAGCTGCGGCCACTAAGGCTTCA